TCAGGCTTGTTTCACATTTATGTCTTTAGCTTTACAGATGAATTCAATCTAAACAATCTTACTGCAGCATTATATTAATTAGGCAGTTTTCCAAAGATGGAAAACACCATACTAATCTAGTTGTGATGTTTTGAGGGTTCATAATTTTATTTTGTTTTGTTTTGGTACCGGGGATCGAACTCGGGTCCTTGTGCTTGCACAGCAGGCAGCGAAACCACTGAGCTAAATCCCTGGGCCAACATTTTGTGGTTTTTTTGTACCAGGGATCGAACTCAGGCCCTTGTGCTTGCAAGGCAGGCTGTGGCACCACTGAACTAAATCCCTGGCCCTAGGGTTCGCAATTTAAATCAATTATAACATTATGGAGTCCATAGTTCAGGGTTGTGGAGAAAGGCTTCTAAGAAATTTTTTTGTTGCTGCAATACTATTTATGTAAAGAACAAAACCCCCCAACTTATCAAAAGTTTATCTAAATACTACTAGCTGTTAAAAGTAAATTTTTCATGCCCAAGTTTCATAATCATATGTGGATGTATTAAATATTAACATTCAGTTTTGAGCAGGAAAAGATAAATCATTACTGTAAGCTAATAAATTTAGATGGCAAGAACATACAGAATATATGCAGTGACTGAATTTATGTTTTTAATGAATATAATTACTTTCTATTATTCCAATTGCAGTAGCAGTATGTTGAGACACACTGGCAATTTTCAGAAACCCAAAAGCAATCATCTGCTTTGTATTACTTTTTCTTTAGGTGTAACATTCAAGTTCATAATGATTCTCTGCTTATAAACTAACAGTCTCCAATTAGTTCACATATGGATCAAACTTTTGGTCCTATTATAACTTTTAAATGAGCTAAAGCTTAGGGCTACATTTAGCAAAATGTGCAATTAAAAAAGCATTACTTTAGCACTACCTTAAAAATTCAGATTATTAAAGAGGACATTGTTTTCTAAGCTGCTAATTTAACGAAATGGTTAACATATATATCAGAGATTGGAAAATTCCTAAGGGTTTTTTTCTTTTTAAGATTTTTGGAGACAGGGTCTCGCTATGTAATTTAGGCTGAACTTGAACTCACTATGTAGCCCAGTCTGGCCTGAAACTCATATGACGATCCTCCTGCCTCAGCCTCCCAAGTGCTAGGATTACAGGCATGCACCACCATGCCCGGCCCTTAGGGTATTGTACCTTATATATAGCAAATGCCTTCAAATATTAGCTGACTAGATTGGTGATACCAGTTTTTCCCTTTTGCTATTCCAAGTCCAGCTGGTTTATTTTGAAGATAATATTTCAATATTTCAATTGTAGAAGAAAATTATACAATTTTCTCTATACAGAGAATAGCAACCAAAATTACCAACTAAGAAACCGTTTCAGGAATTGTTGGAAGGTGAGTTATTCTATAGTAACTATGCTTCAGTTGCCGTGCAGTACGCCCAGAAACAATCCACTTCAACTTCTGAACATTTGGTTTGGAACACTTGTTTGATGAATATTCAATTAAACACTTGGATACAAGCTCTTGCCAGAAGGTCAGATCTCTGCCATTTATCTGTACATAAATTTATAAATGTTATTAAGTCAATTAAAAGTTCTACTGATTTAACTATAGTAATAAATACAACCCTATTAACATGTTTTTCTTTTTAGTTTTTTTCCTGGTACTGGGGATCGAGCTCAGGACCTTGTGCTTGGCAGACAGGTGCTGTGTCCCTGAGCTAAATCCCCAGCCCTGACATGTTTTTCTTTTTAAAAAATTTTTATAATTCTAAAATTTTTATTAATACATGTTTGCAGTGCATAATTCAGTGCGAGGAGTTGGTACATGTACATAACACATCTTTAATATGTTTTTCCTCATCAAAAAAAATTGAGGCTAGCTACTTAAATTTCATACAGACACATGACAACTCATTTTACTTCAGGAGACAGTGCAAGTGGTTAAGTTTCTTTTGCAGTTGATAATAGGATTTAGGCTGAACTTGACATACCTTGGAATGTTTCTGAAGACATTCTACTCCTGTTAATTCTACACACTTCTGTGCTTGGATCTCCAATCCAATGATGGATAAGGCCAACACAGAAGGCTAGAAGAGATAAATATAAAGTAAATATCAAATATAAAAATACACCTATATAAAAAGCTGTAATCTTTATAAAATACTTACCTTTGCTTTAGAAAATAGGATCCTGCAGTGACATGCCTTAAGCTGAGCTTCTAGTCTTTCAAAATTTAGGCTCGTTTTCCTTTAAAAATAAAAAGATTGATTTTATGTAGATTACATGTAATTAGAGACTTTTTAGAAAAATATTGGAGTCTGTTTTTAAATTAAAGCTTATGCACATTTATTATAGAAAGAAAATTATTTGAACTAAGTTCCCTTCCATTGGAGATATTAACTTCTTGAAGCCACCAATATGAGTTTTGATAGAATTCTAAAAGAATACTGATTTTAGGGAATATCCAGACAATATCATTCTGATTTTCAAACTTACTGTGTTCAAAACAAAGGTCACATACCTTTCAAATGGCAAGCTCTCCTGAATGAGAGAATAATAGAGTTGTAGAAATTGAAAGGCAGTGGTAGCTTTGACTTTCCAACACACCTTCTCCAATACAATCTTTTCCATTCGCATCAAATCTGAAACCGTGAACCGAT